AAACTGTCTCTGGAGCCCTAACTGAATAATAAGAGAAACTCAACTGAAAGACCTTAAGTCTCCCCCTGCCACTCTCCTTGTCCCTCACATATGCCATGCGTCCAACTCTGATCATCTGATCATGTTTATGTAGCAGAATGGGCTCACAATGTGAACTCATGCTTATATAGCTAATATATACAGAGCACACAGATTCAAAATTAGTTGTGCATTAATAATGCAAAGTTCCATAAAATGTTTCTATTTTATAAATTGCAGACAAATGTATTACACAGTTACCTAAAAAGTAAACTATCACTAGGTGTAAACTATCACTAAACTATTACTTCTCCAGTGATAAAAAAGCTTTAATTTGAATTCATTAGATCTCACAGCAAAATGCTATTGTAAATCTACAGCATATAAAATAATTAAAGCAGACTGTTATAATATAAAAATCCATGTTTTATAATATCTGCAACTGATGGTCTATGAAAATGAAATTTATTAATTTGTAATAAAAGAAATTTTTTTAATTTGGGGGATTTTTTCTATTGTCGCTGCTGGCAAGTGTGGAAATTCTACTTGTTGCTTTTAATATAAATTGCAAATGAGGATGAAAAATTAACTTAATGGGTGTGGGGATACCCAGAGTTACTTGAAGGTTATTCCATTTTTCAGCATGTGATATCACAACATGAGTTCTCCTTAGTTGCTTGTTTTGAGAACTAATTTTTTATTGGGCGAAGCTGTCTGCTATTATTTGCAAAGTTGCTTCTCTAAATGTGGCAGGCTTATTAATCAAACATGAGTAGGTATAATTTACTAAGGGCAAGAATGAAATAAAAAAGTAGACTACAACCAAATAACTCACCAGTGAAATACCAGGGCTTAACCAATCTTGCATCATTAACTTGCAAAATGTTCTCTGTAATTCAGCTGAACATTCAAATCAGATTCCATGAATCTTAAATAAATTTAACTGCAATTCAAAATCTGTCCAATGTGTTACATAAGCAAGTATATAACTTGGTTTTCTACCATCTATTACAACTTTCAATGTTCCTATTTTACAGTTAAGAAAACTGACATTCAGAGAGGCCAAATAACTTAAAGACAAAGAAGTGGTAGGGCCTCCAAATTTCAGTGGAGTTTTCAATATCTATTAGAATAGGTAGCTGAGGTCTACTGTATGTGTACCTACTGTATCTTAAGTCCAATTTCAAATGATACCTTCTAAACTTAATTATACACATTTTTAAAATATCCTGATAATATAGCATGTGTTATGTCTACATACACATTTATTTTATGTACATGTATTTAGACTGCATGTATTTTATACATGAATAGTTTTAGGAAAAAGTCAGAATACAGTACAATTTAATACATTTCCCATTAATACTCTTAGGAAACGAAGTTATTTTCTTCATTTCCTTCTTAGATCTGCAAAGAGCATAACTAGTCTATCTTTTAACAGCTTTGTCAAAAATCCTCTCATTTATGGGTTGTTTCTAAGACATATAGCATTGAAATGTGCAGATATAATCAAGCTTAACTCAACTTATTAGGGTGGACTCTAGGAAAATATGAGCAATGTTCTCAATAGAAAAGTTTAGATGCAGACACAGATACACAAAAAGAAGACAAGACAAATAAAGTTACAGGAGTGCACCCCATGAAAATGGAGGTTCAGCGAGATGTGCCAAGGATCCCAGCAAACCCAGGGGTCTCCAGGGGGAGACAAGAAGGATTTCTGTGCAAGCTCCAGTGGGAGTATGGTCTTCCTGGTGCTTTGAATTTTGACCTCAGGCCTCCAGAACTCTTAGACAATAAATTTTGATCAGTTAAGGGTCCTGATTTGTGGTATTTTGCTATAGCATCTGTAGGAGGCTGGTACACATTCCAAACCAAACCAACCAGCATAGACTGTGTTTGCATTTCTGAACTTCTTTCTTTTAGTTCCCAGTTTCTTCTATTCAAATCAGAGAATCAGAAGAAAAACATGTTGCTTGCATCCTACTTCATTCTAGTCTACTTTTCACATATCTTGGAAAACAACATATTGCATAAGATTCTTTCATTTTCCAGATGGAAGCATAAAATAAAAGGCCAGTTTGATAATGATTACTCCTTGTTTGGTAGAAGTGTATTAAGGACCATTATCAAATATTTAAACATGCAATTAGAAATGATTTGATACCAATTTGCCATCCCAGTCTATCTAGCTTGATGACGCTGCCATCCATCAATGAGTACATAATCCAAATTATCTGCTTCCCTCATTACCTTATTCCATCAGTCATTAAGTACTCACTTGTGATTATTTCTCTAAAATGCTTCTGTAAGTCATCTTTTCTCTAAATCTAGCTACTTCATTAATTCAAGACTTCATTGTCTTTTAATAAGGTCTTGCTTGATTAATAGTTCTGATAAAACTGAGAGATCCATTTCATTCCAGGGATGTCAAATGCCACCTGTATACTAAAACTGCTATTATTGTATCAGTAGAGATGTTTTCCATACTCCACCTCCCTTCATCAGACATGAGGACAACTTTATTTAGAATAATTTAATGACAGACTTAGGTGACTTTTAAAATGTGGCAGAGCTGCAATTCAAATCCCCCTGTGTTATATTTCTTCTAGATATATAAACATTTTATTATTACATAGAGGTCTTTTCATATTGGCTATTAGGAAAAATATGTTAGTTAATAGTCCTTTAAAATTCTTTATCACTATTGAAACTTTGGGTTTTGAAGACTTTAAAACCAGATCATAGTGCTATGTTCAAACTTTTGACAGTTATGAAGGAAAAGTTCTAAATGCCTTGGCCCAATCCATCTTAGTTCTTTCACTTGACATGACTTGTGGTGAAAAGTACCTAAGCGAAAATTTCAGATTGTTGACAAGGGTTTCAAAACATGATAAAATTGTATGTCAAGATAACTATAACCACACTATAACCACACATCAGCTAGTTGTGTATATATGATTGGTAAGCACAATCTAGAAAACAAAATGCTTAATTTTTCTAATTATAAAACCTCAGTTGATTCTGAGACAGCAGAAATTTAATTTTAATTCTTTTAAAAACCACTTTATTGAAGTATTATTGGTGTATAAAGCTATATATATTTAAAGTTATATAAAGTTATAACAGTTATATAAAGTTATATAAAGCCTATATATATTATATATATACATATTATATATATATATATTTAAAGTTTGGAGACAAGGACTCACCTTTAACATCACTGTAGCTACTACCAACTTATTTATCACCTTCAAAATTTTCCTCCTTCCCTCTTTATTGATAATGATGAAAATTATTATTGTGTGTCTGTATATAAGAACACAACATAGATTCTACCTTCTTGGCATATTTTAAGTATGCAGTACAGTATTGGGAACTACAAGCTGTCTACTGTAAAGCAGATCTCTAGGACCCTTACATAATTAAAATTTTGAACCCTTTGACTAATACTTCTGTTTCTCCTATCATAAAGCTCCTAGAAACCATATTCCAGTCTTTGTTTCTATAAAATTCAGTGTTTTAGTTTCTCCAGATAAGCAGTATCATGTAGTATTTTTCCTACTGTGACTGGCTTATTTCACTTAGCATGATGTTCTCCTGGCTCAACCAAACTGTAAAAACTGTCAAGGATCCCTTCCTTTTTATAGTTGAATAGTATTCCATTCTTGCTATAGAGTCGACATTTTGGAAATTTCAAATTTTTGATAGAAAATTATATGGACGATTTCTTTATTTCTCTTTCAATGAACATTTAGATTACATTAATATTTGTACAATGGTGAATAATGCTGCAGTAAATGTAGGAATACTAGTCTCTCCTAGGCAACCTGATTTTAATTTCTTTGGATGTAAGTACAAGAATGGAATCCACAGTCATATGGTAGATTTACTTTTAAGTTTTGGAGAAACCTTGATATTTATTATGTCTACAACTATTTACATTTCCACTAACAGTACACAAAGATTCACTCATTTCTGCTTTTCCACACTTGTAACCACTGCATTGCTGACAATACCTACAAAACATGGTATCAGAGTATGTCTTTACACATCACGATGTGGGTATGATTGTATTAATGCACTTATGAAAGATTCGATGATTCAAAGTTGCTTTTGGCTGCCTAGAAAATTGGTACTAGAAGGATGTTTAGAGTATTTGTTACTCAAAAGGGGGAAACTTTTGAGAATGAAAGGCTAAGGTGGCACCAATAACACTGATACTAGGAAAAAGGCATAATAATCTAGGGCCTCAGCTGAAAAATGAGGATATATAGTCATGTCATACACACAGGAACAACTGATAGAGTAATAAGTAAAGAGTGAGATGAGAAAGATTAAAAACACTCTATTAAGAAATGGCAAGGAATTATGCTGAATGGTAATATGACACCATATCAGTTACTGTAGACCCTATTAAGCATCCTTATGAAAACCTCCACACATTTCTCCTTGAAAAACTGAGTACATCAAAATGCTCTACCACTTCCCACTTACTTAATCTTGTACTAACTTGCTCCAATAAAAAGAATGTTCCTGTTGGTAGTCATCTCTAAGAGAAATGGCATGTTATTCCCCACTGGGGCTATGGTTTAAAAAGACAGGTACAAAACAAGTGTTCTTTCTATCTCTCTCTTTCTGTCTTTCTCTTTCTCTTTCTCTTTCTCTCATTTCTAATTCAAACAGTAGCACAAGTGTTAATTACTATTCACCATGAATACTATCTGAGAGAGCTGATATGCTCTTTGAGCACTTTTATTGCTACTCAGTTCAGATGTCACATTTACAGAGTATGGCCCAGAAATCCAGAAATAAACATACTGTAGTCACTTTGGGACTATTTAAGATCAGTACGAGCTTTGGTTTTTTTAATCTTCATCCTTATATAACTCGTAAACTTTTAAATTCTGTCAAGCTTGTCAAGCCTATTAAAGTATGCACTCTAAGATAATTTTCCATTTATAAAAAATTATATATAGTACCTTTCAAGTGAGGGCTGTGCACATGCATTCTTTGTAGGTGTAGATTTATTGGAACAAATTCTAATGTTTTATCTCCTTTGCTGCTGCTTGATTTGAAAGACCCTAGGAGGAAAAAACGAAACATTACTGGTAAATAAATACATTTTTAGAAGTGTATATGTTGACAAATGCATGTGACAAAAATGTTACGAGATTGTCAGAAAGAAAAACACATCTTGTATTTACGGGTTTTCTCAAATTCAGTTATTAAAATATTTTAATTATTCTCATAATAATACTATAAAGTAGAATAGAAAAATTTTTATTTCCTTATTTTGGATTTCCAGATAGTAGAGTTAGAGATAATTTTTAAAGAAAGCTTTGGCTTCCTTATCTTCATAAAAACAATGTTTGTTACTGTTTTCATAAGATATACGTGAAATGCAATTCAGTTTGAATACATAAAGTTGTTGGTTTCCCACCTGTCTCCTTGCTAAGTTCTGTCAGAATGTCTTGGTACATATTCACCATCTGGTCACAGTGAGTGAGGACATTTTTCCTTAGATTGTCCCAGTGTGGAGAAAGTTCACCAAGTTCTTTTATTTCCTGGTTTCTATTAAGAATACAAAAGAGGAGAAACCAATTTGATCTTAGATCTATAGACACAGAACTTTCAATCAGGGTTCTAGAGCTAATAAGAAATTGTTTCAATATCCTTCTCAGAAAAGTTAAGAGTCTACTATCTTAAAATTAAACACCAGAGAAAATATATGTACTTTAGATTACACAAACATTAATAAAACCATTATGACAAAGGGGCAAAAAAGGTTAAATTCCTTGAAATTTTCACAAAGACAGTGAATTTTCTATCCTTAATATATAGAGAAAACTCTGTTAAAAGCAAATACTAAAACAGCAAAGTAAAAATAATTAAATTCCAGCATTCAATGATCCAAAACCAAAGAATATGAGAAAGGCTGCCTATATCTGAGAGAACATGAAATACTCAGGTGACCTAGTATATATGTAATGTAGCTGTAAAATTTTTAATTTCGAATAATAAATGTTATTATGAGATATGGTTTCCTTGGCATTAGTTTTCCCAAAAGGACAATTTAAAGACTGCATGCATATTTATTGTCTCCTTTTCATCAAAAGAAAGAGCTAATCATGCCATTTAGGTTTTAATTATTAACTTTTATCTAAATATCTACCCTTTAGCTAAGTTCATTTAAATCATCAGAATGCCTTTCTAAAATTATAGTGATAAATGGTCTAATATACTGCTTGGTTGGATCTCTTACTCATTTCTGTAACCTTTCACCAACAACATTTTCATGAGGCTAATTTAACCAGCAATGATGAACCTTCTTTGCTATTTTGGCCATGGAACACGCTAAATACCAACCTAATAAATTCAGAAGATATAGAATCTTTAACATCCTGTTAAATGCAAGAATAATGGATGATATGTAAAAATGTGACTTACTTTCAAATATTTGTACCTGTCTTTGTTTTGTTTCAAGGGGAGGACAATGTAGTTTTGCTGGGTCTTTCATCTGCAATCTTCACAGTCTTTGTGAACATTAATAACATTTGTAACTTCTCCAAAGATTAACTTTCATGACATGATTAGTGGGTAATGAGAGTAAAGAGAGTTCATGACCAAAGAACAAGTAGAGACGTTTGAAAAAATGGAGAGTGGGGTTCTCTCCACTTGGTAGAATATTTAAATTGGAGACCAAACAATTACAATTATAATAAAGGATTCCACACTTGACATATCCAAGTCTGGAGGAACTAGGACAATTAGGTCAAGTTTTAGATACATAGTAAGTGATATATATCAATTTAATAGGTAAGGTTTTAGGTTTCGCTTCCACTGGAAATATTAGCAGGGTATTCCTGTCTAATATTAATAGATGTACCATGGGTTGATAATTTATGTTGTATCTAAATCCTTATTAGAAAGAATGTTTTAAAAAGGGAATGGTGAGGAAAGGGGAGAGGTGATATTGAAGCCCCGGTCTCACTATCATATACATACAAGCTAGTAAACATCTTAACTCTGCCTAAGGGAAATTGTGGTCAGAAGAATTCAGTGTTCTGTGAGAAGTGACTGAAGGAGGTTGTACGCTGCTGTTCACAATTTACTGCATTCTGCCAGTATGCCACAACATATATAAAAGATGGCACTATCAGTGCTCACATTCTGAGAAAACCAAACCACCTATATGTCATCATTATAGTGAGAAAAGTTCAAGTATAGGGGAACTATAAAAGGAAAGTAGAGTCGGGAAAAAACAAAACGAGAGTAAGAGTTGCTCTAATTTTTTAAAAAATAAAGAAAAATTATAGTAGTATATTAAAAATAGATACAAAGTTTGCAAAATTTTTAAGTTTTTCAATCAGGAAGCTTAGAGATATTCATTCTTAACCATATTTGATCACTCAGTGAACAAAAATCACTTTATCTAAATCTACTTTCTGTCACAATCTCAAGCCAACAACATGGAAGTAAAAAGAGAATTTACACAGGGAAAGTAACTGCATTGGGTCAAACCTCATAAGAAGACATGGCTGGTTGTTTGGCATTGTGAAATAAACCCAGAGGGGTGATATGGAACCTTTGAAACTTGGAATAGTCTTGTAGATGAAGAAAGAGATATCTGTGTGCCAATTCCTTGCCATGTTCTATAACTCACTGATGAATATTCATCCTATAGCATATTGACTTTCTGTACTTCCAGTTTTGTAAACTCCTCACTTTGGGTAGCCGCTGGGAAAGCAATCACCCAGTGATAATAGAACTGTGCTGCCTCTGTTTGGGTAAGAGTTGGTGGCCAGAAATACTGGGATCCTACTCTGGCAGGTGCCATTGAGGATATACAGTCAGGTCTTCCCCTTAAGGGTGGCTGCTGTGAGAAGACAGGGTGACAATGATGGTAATAGACAGGTCTCAGCATTGAGCTAGTGGGAAAAAAAACATGGTACCATGTTTGCTTTGAGCCAGTATAGAAAAGCACAAAAAGTGGGCCCGGGACTGGCAACTCTTTGAACAGATGTCTTTGCATCATTTTCTTATAATCCAGTAGCATATTAAACAATATCCCCTCATACACATGTTCCTAAGAGAGGCGTTCAAGAACAATACTTCAGATTGGTGGCCAGGTTAAGAAAATGGCAGCACAGTGGGTACCAGCAACTCAGCTTTTTCAGGACAGTGTCTGGAGTCTGGAAAACTGTATCTTAGGGAGTTATCAAAGTAAGATTTACCCTGGAACAAGGAGGGAACTGAAAAAAGAGGGAAAAAAGTTTAAATGATACAGAAGAAATAGAAGAGAGAGGGGTCACCTTGCAAATCACACTGACAGAGAGCAGCTGGCCAGCTGCCATCGGGAGACACAGTGAAACTCTTTCACCCATAGAGAGCCAGAGAAAGTCATCAGGATTGACTCAGTAGCACTTGGAGCCAGTGAGGAAAACACAGAATACTGCTTGCAGCGTGCTCTTCTATAGTTGGGAGTTGGTGAGTGACCCCGGTAATGTGCCCACCACTGCCATAGAGGGAGAAGAGCTGGCAAGGATGACATCGTAGAGAAGTCTCAGTATGCGAACCTATCCCAGAGCAGTCCCTTGCCATATTCTGTATTTCACACTGTCGAGTTTCCGGAGTGGATGTGGGAGGACAGCCCCAGGACACAGCTGGCAGTTGGACAGGAGCCTGGAGGGGGTCTCCCAGAGGGGCTAGAGCTGTTGAACATGGATGGTTCCTGCAGTGGGAGGGCAGGTTAAGCCTGAGTAACTCGGTATTGGAAGGCCATAGTGGTGCTCTGTGGTCACTGTGTGCAGATGTCTGCATCTGGCAGCATTCTGGGGCAGACTGACACCTGAGAGTAAACAGGGGCATGCCTTGCTTGAGCTCTCCTCCTTGTTCATATGCTGTGGGAAAGAGGCATGGAGCTGAAACAGTAGAGATTATTTATTTATTTATGAGAAATTTTGTTCATTTTCTTCCATTTTTATTCCATTATCTTCTCCTTTTTTCTTTTATGAGTGTGTGTTTGCGTGTGTCAGCTTCTTTTCCTCTGCCTTTTTCTTCCGATATAGTTTATAGAGGGTAACGGAATTCTTTCTGGTTCCTTTTTACTCCTTCTACTTTTATCCATATCTCTTCCCTAACTTCTTCCTCCTGTTTCTTTCCCTAGTTTTCTTTTCTTTCTCCCTTTTTAATTTGTCTTCCATTAACTCTTTCTTTAATATTTATATTAGTCATATAATCTTTTCTCATCTCCACTTCTCACTACTAATCTTGTACCCAGTATTTCTTGTTAACACCATCTAAATAAATAACATACCTCTACCACCAAGAGTATCCTTTGCCCCCCCCACTTCCTCCTTCCCGTACCATATAGCAGAAATCTTTAACAGAAACTATTTTTTTCCTTTTCTTTCCCTCCCTCTAACATTACCCAGACCCCAAGTCCCTGGGCTTTAGATAATGGATTCTATAAAATTACTGTTGAATGCTATTCTTCACCAGTAGAGGAGACATAGCTATCATATTTAGTGTATGTTAAGTGTGGATCAACACGTGAGATGTTAGGATCCTTACGCCATTTTCATGGATTTCTTCTCTAGGCTAAAGAGAGATGCAAAATTGGGCCTTATGGTATGTTACTTCTCAACCTCTTCTGAATGACACCACTGTAACTGATTAGCTTGTTATGAGGATAGCTGATTTGATTACATAAGAATACTCCTGACTCAGTGGACAATTTCATGCCAGTGAATATGTCTACTGATTCTACCATCACACCCAGGAAGTGGGACAGTAAGAGTTTGTAACCTAAGAATTCAAACCAGATCAAAATCTGCAAGAATGCCTAAAACCTGGTGGAAAGAAGTGCTGAGTCTGAGTTAGTTTCAATATTGTAATGGAAGAGTTAGAGGAGTTACTGGGGTGTGAAAACTTAAGCTTTGTAGTAAAGAAGCTACTTGAGAATCACATATGCAATGTCTCATCGGAATATGTAATATGTTCACTTTGGATATCTCATAGGTTTGAGTTTTTGTGTGTTTTTAGAATGATGTAGCAATATGGAATTTCGTTATATTCTTTTACAGTTTCTTCTATTTATTAGTATTTACTTTTGTGTATTTTTTTCCTTTCATTGGCTCTAATAGATGTCTAGTTTCTTTTTCTTGCTTCAGCTCCCTATCTAGTTTCTTCACCTCAAACCCCCAAAGCAATAATATTAATTAACACTAATACATTAATATTCACACACCTAAGTTCTTTCTGCGTTTTTAATTTCTCATACGTAGCTCCCTCACTGCCACTCCTATCTTTCCTAGTATTAACCCTCAGTCCTGCCCATGCTAAGCCTTTGTTTCTTCCAGAGCTCACCTAGCCTATTATCTTCATTGTCACCAGCTTCTGACAAGCGCAGAGCTTTTGTCAATCACAAAGTAAAGCCTCCTTTCACCCATACCTCGCCCATGTCCACACACATATCCTCTGCAGACTCTCAATACTACCCATTCAACTCAAATGAAAGTATTCCAATAGAATTAGATCCCACATCAGACTTTTCTTCTCATTTCTCAGTG